CTTTAACTGCTTATACTTGGAGTTATAGGTCTGGCTTGAGAAGTAGAGCACCTGCCTAGCAAGTATGAGCCCCCAAGTACAGCCAAGGTGGGGTGGGTGGGCATGGTAGTAAATAAAGCTTATACTCAAAAAGAAGTTCAGTTGAAACAAACATTAATAATGTAACAACATTAAATACTGTAAATTATGTATTTTAAGTGTTCAAAGGTATTCCTAATGGTGTAGGTGTTAGAAGGTGAACATGGTAATGAAGGAAAATCTTAAAGATAATAAAGGAGGCCAGCTGTTGAAGGAGAAGACTCCTAGCAAAAGGCTGGGATGGAAGCATGGCTCACCAAGCTGTGAGCAAGCAAGAAAAGATACTGTGAGTTCAAGACTCAGTGTGAGCACAAAAGAAAAGAAAAGGTTAGGAATTGTAGCTTACCCAAGTATCTTATAATGGCAAGGTATGGATGAAAATATAGGATCATCCTTTCATTACATATTTTTAATGCCAAACTTTCTTAAAACCTATGAGGAATCAGAGAAGAACTCTAATAGAAATGGCAGTATTACATACACTTTTAAAAAAAAACCCTAATTTTGACATTAACGAGGATGGATTGAAATGATGTGAAGCTAAAGGAGAAAATGAGGAGGGAGGAGGTTGTTTTACAGCTCTGATATGACTATAACCTCAACTGAGGGTGGGAGAGACGGAGAGAGGACACATCAGAACAATACTGGAGGAAGAACTTGTACATTTATTCCAAACTTAAAAAATTAAATAATCCTTTCTAAGTCTACTATAGCTATACTTGCTAAAGAACTAGAAGAAAAGATATGGCAGATAATCACTATCTTACAAAAGAGAAAAGCTGAGACATAAACATTAGGAAAAGGCATGTTTAAACTAGATCCTTACACTTCATAGCTAATGAGCCTATCATTAAAGTACACCTTCAAGTATTTTTTTTTTTTTTTGGGGGTCTGGTCGTGGGGCCTGAACTCTGGGCCTGGGCGCTGTCCCTCAGCTCTTCAGCTCAAGGCTAGCACTCTACCACTTGAGCCACAGCGCCATTCCCGGCTTTTTTCTTATGTGGTGCTGAGGAATCGAACCCAGGGCCTCAGACATGCAAGGCAAGCACTCTACCACTGAGCCACCTTCCCAGCCCCACACCTGCAAGTATTAACTACAGAATTTACAACTCTTTTCTTCCAACCAATCCCTGACTCTTGTTTTTCATTCTTTGAAATGTACAGTATATAACAATTCAGTACAGTATGTAACAATTATCTCACCTCTACGAACCATGTCTGTTTCAAAACACTAGCATCAATTTCCTTTCCAACTTAAAGTTCAAGTGCTTTACTAAAGACTACTATGTAACAATCAAAGGCAACTTAATGGATCTTTAAAGCCTCAAGATTGCTTCCATACACCATCCAAAGTAGTTTATAGTGTTTTTTGTTTTCCTCTAGCTCTCCTATACATCTGTATTCTATTATCTCATTGTTTCTGAGAAGTAGGATTTTCTTTTCCTCTTAATACCTTCATTTCTGTCCAAATTTGAGAATAGAAGCCTGTATTCCAGGGATCTAGTTGTAAACTACAGCGTAGGAAACCAGGGTTCACATGCCCATAGCTTCAGGGGATGGGACTGAAGTGGGCTCTGATGGAAGATAGTCTCCTATTTGCTAGACCCCAGTGCAAGATGATGTCCTTTCTAGAGAACAACATCATGTATGTGTTCTGCTGTTGTTGTTGCTTGTTTTTTTGTTTGTTTTTTTCTTTTTTGGTTGGTTGTGGGGCTTGAACTCTGGATCTGGGTGCTGTACCTCAGCTCTCCAGCTCAAGGTGAGTGCTCTACCACTTGAGCCACAGTGCTACTTCTGGTTTTCTGGTGGTTAATTGGAGATAAGAGTCTCATGGACTTTCCTGCCCAGGCTGGTTTGAACAGCCTCTTGAGTAGCTAGGATTACAGGTGTGAGCCACCAGCGCCCAGCATCATATATGTTTTAAAAATGATTCCCCTGGCTATCTAGCATAAGGTAGCATCTGTCAGTGGAAGGGGAAGAGGTAGAGGAAGAGCAGACTGAGCCATTCTTGGAATATAAATTTGTATTATTTTAGTATTTTTAAAAAAAATCATCACAAGTCTAATTTTGATCATCTAGCTGACAGAGTAGAACCATGGAATTTCTGCACACCATCTGATTTTGTGTACTCATCAGAAATTAACATAAATCTATTTACTATATAATGCATTTGAATGAAGTTAAGACTAACCAGCTTATGAAAAGGACTAGATGAATGAAAGGTTCACAGTAATTTTAAAAGACAAAAAGTATCAGAACTGAGCTGTTATTAAACACATGGTATAGAAATGGAGATCTAAGTAAAAGGGCCTTACACAAATTATTCAAGTTTGAAAAGTACTAAGGGATATTAGAGAAACATTGGAAATTCAAGAAAGCAAAGTTAAATTTAAAGTATACAAATTTACCACAGCTGTTCTGCTGGCTACATTTTACTCATTTTATATTTTGGTTCTACTAGGGTTTGAACTCAGGGTCTTGCATTTGCTTAGTAAATGCTCTGACTTCAACCTTGCCCCTAGCCTTTCTTGACATAGTTATTTTTCAGCTAGGGTCTCACATTCACCCTTGAACAGTGATCCCAAGTTGCTGGAATTAGAAAGGCAAGCCATCCCACCAGGTATGTTAAGGTGCATTTTAATCATAATAGACAATTCTTCACACTTTGCTCTTGCTAATGCTTCCACTGGATAATTGAGGGGAAAATGTAGAATATGGCACATACTATGCTGATTTTTTTTTTTAAAAGGAAAATGGGTCTGTTAAATAAGATTTCAATTTCAGCATCAATTGTATGAGATCCGAGGATCCTGATTTGATGCCAGTCTGGGCAGAATGGTGTTAGAGTAAGTTATTACCACTTAACAAACAAAAATCCAGAAGTAGCATGATTGGGGATTTAGCTCAGTAGAAGAATGCTTGCTTGCTAAGTGGAAGGCCCTGAGTTTGGCCTTCAGCTCTGCAATAACAATAGCAGCAACAAAAGCTAAAAATAGCAGTGGTGCTTTGGCTCAAGTGTAGAGCATTAGCCTTCAGCAGAAAAAGCTAATAGATAGAGCTTAGGCCCAGAGTTCAAACCCCAGTACCAGCACAAGCAAACAAACAATAAAATGATTATCAAAGAAAATATGAATAAATAAAACAAAGAAAATAAAATCTCTCACACCGTTCCTACTGAAGTCTGTTAGTATTATGGAATAATTTCTTTTTTTAATTCAATACACAGAATTATCTGTTATTTCTCTCTTTGCTGGAATCATAGTACACTAAAATTTACTTATTAGAATTATTTAATTTGAAATAATCTTAATGGATTCAAACAGCAAATCAATGCTTAAATCCAAACAGGTCATCTAAGATTCTTTGGATTTAGAGCCGGTGAGAGCCCCTAAATATCTTCTGACTCAGAATCAAAATAAACTTTAGGGGCAAAAATAAAAGAATGTTTTATGACAAGCTATTCAGTACTTTAGTGCTTACCATAGATTGTAAAATGGATGAGCTAATCATCTTGGCTTATTTGGTCAGTGAAAGAATATAGAGCCTAAATATTATGAGACACTAAAATACAATGGAGTTCTTTGTTTCAAGTAAGAAAGAAATAATCAGTAAGGGAGGAAATGAGATTGTGAGAACTTTAAGAAAAGTAACTGGACTCATAACACAACTGAGAGAGGCAAAGAGGAAGGGAAGAGGGACAGAGAAGCAGGCATACTTTAATTCTAAGGAATTTAAATTATTTTATCTATAGTTTTAAATTACTTTATCTTATAAATGATCTATAACCAACTAATTTATAAACATATACAACAAACTGTTAGGTGGACATTTTAAAATATAAAAAGTCTCTGCTTGAAACACATAACTAAAAAGTAGATGATTTCTAATCCCCAAATACATGATATAAATATATGGTGCATGATACATGACTAAATTTAATATATCCATAATTAACAAACACATATATGTGCATCTGTGCGTGCACACACCGTAAAAGAATACAAGCTTAATACTAGTTCTGGTACAAACCACCTATATAGTCATGGATAATTCACTTGTTATCTGGGGCCAGAGCTTCTGAATTTGTAAAATGAGGATTTAGAGCTTCTGAATTTGTAAATGTAGATTTATTCTATTAGCAAATCCTAAGACATTCTACCATTTTCTCTGCATACCTAATCTTGCTTATCAATTTAAGGTGAAAAAACTTTAAAATAAAGTATTTCTTAAAATAATTTCAAATAATATCAAAGTGAAAAAAATCATATCAAAAATAAGTAATTGTACTCTTAAGAATTGGTTATACCTAATGTTAAGATTAGGCCTTTCCAACAGCTACTGACATCCTGTAAACTTACCAATTGCTTTCAATGTGTATATTGAAAAAAAAAAAAGCAGATTACATCTGCTTTTTAATACTGCTTCCAAAGTATCAATAGGAAAATAAATTTAAAACAAAACAAAAAACATATAACACCTTATAAGATCAGTAATATACTCTAATAATTTAAAAGTATATTGAACACATATGAAATATAGATTAGAATTTGTTATGTAATATTGAAATATGTACCTCTATGTAAACAGAAGTTAATTTCTGAATTTTAGGTTGTCAAAATTATTCTTCTCCAATATTTTAATAATATATGTTCAGTGTTCTTACCTTGGAAATGAAAGTCCAGGGTGGACACTGTCGACAGGAAGTCAATAGGAACAAACTATAAACTGTCAACAAAACTTTGAAATACAACTACTCAACTGTCTTTACATACAAAACTAACATGCAGTTATATATTCAGGCAGCTTTCTGGTTTCAAACTAGTTTAGAATCAGTAAAAAAAAAAACAAGCAAAACAAAAACAACCCAAGTTTTAGTTAACTACTGATTAATATGCTTTCTTTTAAAACTCAGTTTAACTCACCTTTGTCCAAGGATGTGCCTTAATTTGAGGGAATTTGAATTCTGTGTAGTTTGGATTCATTTCTCGAATTTGCTCCCTTGTTGGTGTTCCTAGGACCTAGAAAAAGAAAAGAATATTATCACTATTCCTTTTAATATACTTACAAAGAGTCTTTAAGTTTTAATGCACTGGATATGAAAAAAAGGAATTCCAAATTTAATTATATAAATTACATATTACTATATGAAGCCCACTTTGTAAAAGCATACTCATTATTTGTAACAAACTATAGATTCCATGTTACATTATCCTAGACAGACTTCTACGATTATGAAGTTAACCCTGAAATCATAAAAAAATTACTAGAAGATATTCAAGTAACTGTAGCTCTATTTCCTGTATTTGAACACTGGCCTGGGTAGCTGTAAAAGTAAGAAAAGTAATACCCGAACTGGCTTTACAATGTCTAGAATATAAAGCACATGGGATAGTTTAAAAAAAAATTAAATGAGATTCTGAAATCATCTTCAACACTTAATAAATAAAATTTTAAGTAAAAACCAGGCAGCTTCTTTTCTCTTTAGAAATAATTTATGTGCAGTGATGAGATCTGAAATAACAGTATCTTTTACTCAGTTAACAAGGTAAAGCCAAAAGCTTTACCATCAACATTACTCAAGTACATCATTATTTTTTTTCTTGTTCTGGAACTTGAACTCAGTGATTAGTAGTTATCCTGAGTTCTTGTTGTTGTTGTTTTTATTTTTTTGTTTTGCAAGGCTAGTGCTCTACCATTTAAACCACAGCTCCAATTCTGTAGTTAATTGGCAATCAGAGTCTCATAGACTTTCCTGCCTGGGCTGGCTTTGAACCACAATCCTCAGATCTTAGCATACTGAGCAGCTAGGATTATAGGCATAAGCTACCAGTGGCCAGCTCAAGTATATTATTAATTTCACTCAATCACTAAAATTTGATGTTTCTTATATTCCAAGGAACTATATTGTGATCTGTGAAGAATACAAAAACAAGAAATTTCCTGCTACAGTGAGCTCACATATAGTGTATTAATAAATGCACAACTATAAGTACACTGAACACTTCATTGCTTCTAGAGCTGTGCTAGGCACTGCACCTGGCAGCACAAGACAGGTAAGAAAAAAACATCACACATCAAGTACCAGTAACTCATGTTTATAATCCTAACTACTTGGGAAGCTGAGATCTGAGGATTGTGGTTCAAAGCTTGCCTGGGTAGGAAAAGTGCATGAAACTCTTATCTCCAGTTAACCACCAGAAAACCAGAAGTGGAGCTATGGCTCAAGAGGTAGAGTGTTAGCCTTGAGCAAAAGAGCTCAAAGACAGTGCCCAGGACCTGAGTTCAAGCCCCAGCACCAGTGTTGAATAGAGAGGGGAGGGAAGGGAAAAGGATATCATAGAGAAATACTAATCGCTTTCAAGATATGCCACATGTTACTTATCTGTATAACCAAAAAGACCTAAAATTTAAGTTTATTGGAATTACAGGCATAGCTCAGTTGGTAGAGCATTAGCCCATGAGTAAAAGAGCCAGATACCAAGTTTGAGTCTCAGTCTTGGGCCAAAAGAAAAAAAAAAGACAATAAAGTAGATTTATTTTCAAAAAGTAAACTATTTACAATCTCAGTATAGTTTCACAGAAACACTCAGTTGTCAGTAGCCATCAGTAATTACCATAGGTATTTGTATAAATATTCAGGGCAAAGTGTGAAGTTCTCATTTTTGTCATTGTTGTTTGTTCTAATAACCCAGATTCCATTAAAATTTTCAAAACTTCACTGAAATCTCAAGTTCTTTCTTCTTCAAAAGATACTTTTCAAAAAATGAAAAGGCATATCATAGACTGTGAGAAAACACTTGTGAACAGGGAGGACATAAATTTAGGTGAAATATGCCCATATAGAAAACAAGTATTACATATTCTCTCTTATATGGAAGTTAAACAGTTAACCTTAAAGAAGCAGGACATGTAACAGGACTACCAGAGCCTGGTAATCCCTCCCTAGGTGTGGAGGGTAGGATGGAGAAGTATATATAGCTGGTTAAGAGAAATAACTGATGCTCTATACTACAGAAAAATTAAATATGATTGACAACAATTAATTGACTATAGCAACTCAGAAGATTTAGATTTGCTGAATTGGTTAGAGGGCAACTAATCCCTTTACAATTTCAGTAGTTGTGAAAAAAAAATGTTTAAGTTATTAGTCATGAAAGAGTAAACCCGGAAAGAAAATAGTATTGAAACAAACCATGTGGTAAAAAGCAGGAAGAGTTCTCTAGCTTGGTGGATTTTAGGTTTATCATTTAGAAAAGGGCTAAACACTAGAAAAATCGTTTGGAAGTATATGCTCTATAAAAGTTAGGAGGCTGTAAAAGTAACAAGCAAGCAGGGGAAAATGAGTATCAAAGATATGGACTTGAGTGACAGAGAATATTAAAAAGAGAAGTTTTAAAAAACTGTGTAAGTTTTTAAGTTAAATAAGTTAATAAAAAAGAAAAGACCACCATTTATTCAAGGAGACTTTCCTCTCTCCAAAGTATGTTTTGATTCCTTTGTTTAAAGACCAGTTAGTTGCAGTTGTATTGGTTTATTTTGGGTCCCTCTATTCTGCTCCACTGATCTGTGTGAATTTTATGCCAGTGGCAGTTACCACAGTTTACAATATGCTTTGAGGTCAGGTATGAATCTTGAGCTTTTTACTTTTTGCTCAATACTACTTGGGCTATTTGTGGTCATTTGTAGTCTCATATACATTTTATGATAGTTTTGTCCTAAAAATGTTCTTGACAATTTTAAAGGCATATATGTTGTTGAAACTCATTAAACAGTACACTTGAAATGGCTATATTTTATTGCATATAAATTACAAATTCACTTGATTTAAAAATAGTATTGTCTTGGGCTGGGAAGGTGGCTCAGTGGTAGAGTGCTTGCCTTGCATGCATGAGGCCCTGGGTTCGATTCTTCAGCACCACATACACAGAAAAAGTCGGAAGTGGCACTGTGGCTCAAGTGGTAGAGGGCTAACCTTGAGCTGAAGAGCTGAGGGACAATGCCCAGGCCCAGAGTTCAGGCCCACAACCGACAAAAAAAAAAACCAAAACAAAACAAAAAAACAAAAAATAGTATTGTCTTTACAGAACCAATCAAATATTTATCCTTCCTAAAATGCCATTTTAAATACAGCACTGTAAGTCTGAGTCAAACCCTAGAATCAAGATTATTTTATGTAAAATCTGCATGCTTGTGTAAGTAAAGATACAATATAATTGAGAATTTTTTTTCTTTTAGCTTCTGAAGTCATTCACTTATTTAACTCATTTATTCCTTCATTAAGCAGTTTTCTCTACATAAATCAACAATAGTAAAGATCCATACAGAAAGATCAGCAGAGATAATGTGTGAGGCAAAAGTGAACTGGGATGATGAAGGAAAGAAGGAAAGTTCTGGAAGGAGAGAGATGCTGATTTTATTTAAGACTATTCTTCCACATGATTTATTCTAGCTGAATTATATAGTCACAAATTTCATTTGTGACACAGGACAACTGAAATCCATGGGAGTAGGTGGCAGAAAGATTCAAAGCCTCAGTCTGTCATACCCCTTTGAAGATGTTGTTTATCTTTTTCTAATAAATCAATCATTTCAGCTGTACTTCATCCTAACCACATCTCTTGGTAGTATTATTTTTCTTCATTTCATTAGTTACAAATTATCCAGACACTGAAAAATAAAAAAAATCAGGAACTGTGAATCAACAGTAACTGTCTTCAAAGAAAAAAAAAAAGGCCAAAGGAAATTTTTATCAAAGCTCTTGCAATATGTTTTCCTCACAGACATGCTGTTTTTATAGCTCAACACCAGAGGTCGCCAAACTTCAGCAATACAGCCATATGTGCAGGTAGCTCTACATAAATCAAGAATGAAGTAAAAGAAACCTTATTAGAAAAATATTACTCCTCTGCTTAAAATTCTGCAGTGGCTTTCAAACTCCTGTAAACTAATGTGATCTGGATACTGTTCATAACTCCTTACTTCTTCCTAACAAACTCATATTCTGTAATACTTTCCTAACCATACACTGCAACCATAATTAACATATAACTGGATCAATAAGAATTTAACCATTCTCTCCCTCTCTAAATAGTGTGTAACTTTCCATTTTCAAGATTCAGCTCAAAATTGTCTTGTCTCCCTTTTGAGATAGGGGCTCATTATTACCCCAGGCTGCCCTGGAACTTCCTCTGTAGCCCAGGCTAGCATTAACCTCATCCTATTTCTCCCTCTCGTGCTCCTGGAGTGCTGGGATGATGACAAGTTCACACACTGGGCTTTCCCTCCTCCTTAAAAATATAACTTTATTATGATTAAGGTGTTGTACAAAGGGGGTTATCGTTTCTTAAGTCAGATAATGAGTACATTTCTTTTGGGACAATGTCACCCCTTCCTTTGCTCTCCCCCAGTTTCCCCTCCTGTACCTCCCCACAAGTTGCACAGTTCCTTTTCCAGAGTCTATTGAGTACCCATGCCTGCATTTGTTCATCCTTCTTCCCTCCATTTCTGCACCCATTTTTGTCACCCCATCCAGCCAGAAAAAATGAATAGAACAAAAAGTAAAGCAAACCAAATACCTCTACTACCATTACCACCACCACAAACCATGTTTTCTCCTCTTTTCCCTTAATGTTCTGGGTGGGATGGGGAGGTATAAATAAAGGGTTTATAATCTTCCTTTAAATATGGCAGAAAAAAAGCAAAGCTATCTTAACAATAAGTGCTCCCATTTGAGGTCTGGCTTTTTTTCTCTTCATCAATGACCTTATAATATATACTTCATGAGGCTTATGGGATAATTATAAGATATAATTCAGTGGTTTTGAGTCTATTCAGAGAGGTGTGCATTTTACTGCTATCTATTAAAATGAGGCTCTGCACCCATAAACAGTCATTTACATTTCCATTCTTCCCAGTTCAAAAAGAGTACTAATCTACCTTTTATGCCCAAAGATTTTGATATTTAGTAACATGAAATAGCCTAATGGGATGTTTTATGCTATCAGTTTCCTACTCATTT